TCTGGACTAGGCTGAATATACAGTTTATAAAATAAGAAACGGTTAACAAATATAAAAATTGATGAAATTGGAAAATCCAAAAATGCCAAATCCGGGCGTTTCGCCACATTTTGCCATTTTCCAAAGTTATCGATATTTTTTTTATATTATAAGTTCTGTTCCTCTGGACTATGCCGAACATACAGTGTATAAAATAAGAAACGGTTAACAAATGTAAAAAATTCATGAAATTAGAAAATCCGAAAATGCCAATCCGGGCGTTTCGCCACATTTTGCCATTTTCCAAAGTTATCGATATTTTATTCATATTAAAAGTTCTGTTCGTCTGATTAGGGATGGTACTTCCAATCCATAAGTCCGAGTCGGCTTAATTATGGTGTTGTAAAGCGGCTTTTGTTTTTGAGAGGTAAGTCAGAACATTTGCCGAGAAGTCGTGCAAGAGCCCTGTATCGTATGATAACCTCGTGACGTTTCAGTCGTGTGTGAGGATTCCACGTCAACTGTCTGTCGATGTAAAGTCCGAGATACCGCACTTTGTCCGCAGTTGGAAAAGGAATATTACATAAATAGACTGGTAGAGAGTGGAGATAATGTGGGTGGATATGTCTATGTTAAATTTTATTAGTTTCATTTATGTTTTAGTGGTCAATTGACCAAGTTACTTCTTTCAATTAATTATTCTTTCTATATAAGGTCTTAATTGAGATAAAAAAAAGTCAGTTTCACGAGTGGGATATTTATTATTTTCTAGTAGAGTGAAGTGTTGTTGGAGGTTTCAAGTGGAAATTTAACCAACCTACTAGAAAGACTATGATGGCACTGTCGGATAATTGAGTATCAGTTGCGAAAACCAAATTGATGTTCAGGGATAATATTTTAAAGATTTAAGATTGTAGGCATTTTTTTCAACAGGAGCTTTTCTAAAATTTAACCAAAGTTGGTAATATTACGTGGACGATTTTAAGTGATATCGACCAATTTTCTACTCACGAATACCCTCGATCACGTTATGGTCTTGATGAAAACGCAAATTCAGTTGTTACTGCCAAGCTTTCGACCTTTGTAAGGACATTATCAGAGCAAAACAAATTTAAATATGTCTAAAAATTGATCTAATCATGTTTTTCACAGACGATTTCAAATTTCTTTTAGTATTCAATACTGATAACAGTCTTTGGCAATGTTAGGGCTGAGCCGGTCTTGGTCAAAACAATCCTAAAAACTTCCACAGATTGACATAATTATGTTTTCCTACAAACGATTTCAAATTTTCTTTTAAAGACCAACCCAGACCCAACATTGCCATCCTCCAGTATCCGACTTTGTCCTCGGCAATATTGGAACTATGTCGGTCTTCAAAGAAATTTAAAATCATCTGTAGAAAAATTTAATTCTGTCAATTTCTAGACATATTTAAGGTTTCTTCCCTGATGATGATCTTAAAATATGTAGGTCGAAAGCTTGGCAGTTGCAACTGAATTTGCTTTTTCATCAAGATCACAACGTGATCCAGAGTATTCGTGAAAAAAAGAACCAGCATCTTTAAAATTTCACCCAGGGCAAAATATTAGGTCTAAGACTATTAAAAAAAAGTATAACTACCTTAAACAAGACGGTAGTTTCACTAGTATTATCCATCCATATTACATTCAAAGAAAGTAGCTCGGACGGAAACTTGTTCATAATTTAAAAAAAGACAACTTGCCTTTTTGAGTAAAAATCTAGTGATCCTGTGGTTCCAAGTCATGTGTAGTTTGAGGAAAACAATATAGCTAACTAAAAAAAACTCTAGGAAAAGATGGGCCAACTCTCTCTCATCGGAATGTCACACAAGGAAAAATATCACCTCTGAGACAATAAAAATGCACACCCTCTGCAAAATAAGAAAACAGACAGAAACCTGCTCATTGTATCAAAAACTGCAGATACATGGGAACATGTGCTGTGTGACTGAGAAGATTAACAAAAGTTTAAAAAAATCATCTAATTCCTAAAGGTCAATGCACCTTCCTTAGTTTGGACATAGAGAAGGTCCTTTTCCACCAATATATGTTAAGGTTGCAGTAGATTGGGAAAATCGGCTTTGACAGGCAACATTTTTTTTAAATTGTCACATATATACCAATTATAAATAAAAAATATATATACGTTTGTGATCACATTGACCGTCCCTGTGCTTCCAAGGTATAGGGAAGTAGGTTGTACGAAGAAGAGAATTAAATAAGTATCCACGTTTATGGAACTATAAAACTTAGCAGATGTTTTGACATAGGGGATAAAACTGAATTCGATGAACATCATTTATTAGGCTTTCAACGTACGTAGTTAAGAAGGACATATATTTACTTGAAACAATGAGTCCTTCAATTATAATCACATGCAACCATTGTTAGTGTAATTATATTCAATTAACGTGTAGCCGTTAAAGATAAACGTGACTCTTCGCTGCATAAAACGGCGGCTTCGCCTTCTTTTCCAACTTCACGACGGATTTATAGGGACAAAAGGACGGGGTGGGCCAGTCAGAAAGTTTTTCCCTCGCCCGACTGGGCAGACCGCGAACCAGTAGAATGCGAGAAATATGATAGAGGAAACGTGCATCAGATTTACAGAACCGATACGAGCCCTTTTGCGCTCCTTAAAAAATACTTGGCTACCACTGGAGAAATAGTGAATAACCGCTTAAATATTAAATATGGCAGGAGACAAACGGTTTCGAATTTCTTTTATTTATCGCCCAGCTCAATAAAAAATTAAGATCTTTCGACCGAGATGTGCACAGGTTGAACTTTAAGCCGGATTTAGAAATAAATAAGCTTTTTTGTGTCCAGAGGGCTTTTGGAATTAATCAATGTGCCATTTCTTAAAAAATGATCGAATAGGAAAAAACATTCAAAGCACTATGAATTTGTATGCAGGTTTCTACTAAAGGCTTTAACGTATTACTACTACAGCTGCCAACCATTTTGTAAATTGCTGTACTTTTGTCAAAACTTTATAACTCTTTTATTTAGTATTTTAAAAATGACGAATTTCAGGTATCAAGTGTGGTCGAACGATTGTTAAATCAATAAAAATAAATGGAGAATACGCTGGAACGAAAGAAACACGCCCAAATTATATATAAACCCATTATATTTAGTGGTCTGATTGACAAAATTACTTCTTTCAATTAATTAATCTTTTTTGTAAGGTTTTGGTTGAAATGAAAAAGTGTCACGAGCGGGGTTCGAACCCACGACCTTCTGCTTCAATTATATATAAATGTAAAAAAAGATCCCCTGGTCTACGGAGGCTGGATATAGAAAGGAACAGGTCGTACCAAGATCACCATAGACTTGTAATGGCGGCGAGACTCATAGGTGCCAGTGGAGAACTTATCATGGTAGAGCACAAAATGCCCTGCAAAAAACTAAATCTGCAAATAAAGAAATACAAAATCCGAATGACCTATGCTCAGCCTTGGGGCACGGCAGTACGCACAGATCGCTGGTACTATATCTCTGGGCTATAGATATTTTTAATACATAGTACATAACTCTTCGTATTTTCATTTAAGTGACATGGGTTTTTTTGAACGCATGTATTTGTTTGGCATCCACCACTCATTTTAGCCCTAACTTTCTCACACTTTCTGCAATGACGAGTTTGATCTGAGTGCCCACAAAATACAGACCAAATTACAAAAAGAAACTTTAGACTATTTAATGCGTGCTATAGTTTTTTCTAAGATGTATTTCTAGTCCTGCTTATTTTGATAGTGATAATTAACTTAGTTAATCTTGGGCTTAACTATTCTCAACATTTCAGTCATGGCCAAGTTTATCTGGGGTAACCAAAATGCACACAAGAAAACGACCATGTTTTATAAAGAAACTTTAGACTATTTAATGCATGGTATAGTTTTTTCTACGATGTACTTATGTCCTGCGAAGTTTGACATTGACAGGTTATCTTGGTATTAACAATCCCACCTTTCTGTCATGACCTGGATTATCTCGGGTGATCAAACTGCAAACAAGAAAAGCACCAAATTACAAAAAGAAACTTTTAACTATATTATAATAGCTATGGCTTTTTTCTAAGCTGTATTTGTCATATCAAGAAGTGTGACAGTCACTACTGTCTGCCATGACCAGGTTTATCTCACTCCAGGAGAAGTTACAAAAGGAATCTTTAGACTACATTACATATAGTTTTTCTAAGATGTATTTGTTGTCCTGAAGGTTTATATTCTCAAGTCAATTCCGTCATACCTTTATTTCATGATCTGGCAAGATCAAACTGCCAACTATGATTAACTTTGTTATTGGAAAAACGCTTCACATCTTTTCTGTGACGAATTTTAAAAAAATATAAATATTCTAAGATGTGTTCTAAGTAGTCAAGGCGGTCTTTCTGCAACAACAAAAAAACCTCTCCCAGAGAGTAATGCCGAGGTCATATGATTTATCAAGTGTGTAGCCCAGTTGGAAAGACGGAAAGAGGGCTCGTCTGGATCTTGTACCAAATTAGGAATTGTCCGTGCTTTGTGTTACCAAGAGGCGCATGAAGATATTCGCGGAGTAAGAGCGGCATTGGCTATTCACCAATTAAATCACAGAGAATATTTCCCCTCTGTGTTTACTTTGTAAATCATCCTAAACTTGCGGACAAAGGACCGATTTAAAAAATTTCTTGCCAGATTTGTAATTGTGATAAACAATTCTGAATGTGGCGTTAATTTATAGCTCAATGTTTGGCGAGGGGTTTTTATATATAAAAACATTCCCAGCGATAAACAAGAACTTGTTTCTCACTTTTAAAATTCAAAAATTCTTCTTTCAAATATTCATCTCAGAATCAACTCTCTTTGTTCTTGGAGAAATAATTACATTTTTATTTCAACTTATAAACAATGTCAATAACAAAATAATATTTAAAATCAAAAGCATTTGTAAAAGGTGTCGTAGTTTATACACAATCGTACAATTGTAATTTGTTTTATTTTCAATTTTCAGATGGAGTCGGACCTAAAGGCAGAAAATTGAATGGGAACGGTGTTGCCCACAGGCCAGATGATAAACAATCTACTCTTTCCAGGTACATATATTGATTTGACTTGTTTATTGTTAATAATTAATAGCCTTTTTAACCGTACAGGGGGAGTTGATGTGGGTTTGTGATAATTAAATTTATGCATACTTTTTTCGTGCTAACTTTTGGTATGATAAAACAATTTTTTTTAAGGATAAGTTGGTAACCAAGAGATACCTAAGTTTTAACTTTCTTAGACAACTTACTTAGATGTGAAGGTTAAATGAAAACATATTAGCGCAGGTTAGGACAGTTGAGTGGATCTTTATTACACCCACGATTTTTTAAGGCGTTTTATATCCTTATTTAATTGGCTCGAGATGTCCGAATTAAATTGCTACCTTTAAAAGAATTTATTGTCTAGATTGCATCACATATCATATTAAAATGGCCGTAGTGGTCGTAATAGATTTATCGCCCAAAATAATTCACAATGTCTTAAGAAAGTTTATTTATTTTATTGATTGCTATCTGTTCAAAAATATAAATTGAGCAAATAGGACAGTTAAATAAGAAGGTATCAATTGTATTTCAGACCAAAAAAAAACTAAAAATAAAAATAAAGAAAGAAAAATATATTCGTATCAAAATTAAAATCCATGAAGTAGAAGTGTATTTAAACAAAAAAGTATTTTTTAAAAAACCAACAACCACAAAAACCCTTAACAGCACATTTTAGATAGATTATAAGTACGCGGTTAAGTGTTAAAAGCTCTCAGTAAATCTGTTAAAATATAAAATATAAATCCACCGATGGATATCGGACTTAAGCTTTATCTCATAAGGGAAATCTATAAGTTCTGAAGCACTCCTGTATAAGAGAGAAGGCAGGGACTTAATTACCGCCGTAAGGTTCTTCAATCCCATTGTTGACAAACAATGAACAAAATAAAAAATAAATCCCGATCATTAAACACCCCCCGAAATGATACAGTTCAATTAAGAAATCAAACTAAGGTTTTTTAAACAAGTAAATGGCCCATAAATGTATTATATTATTCTGAACGACTCACGGTACATTTAAAAAGCTAGAAACCCATAGATGTAAAACAAAATGTTTCAGCTGTAACAGTAATACTATGTTATCATTGGAAGTAGCATAAAACAAAATAAAAAATAGTAACTTATGATAATTTAAGTCGAAACCATTTCTAATAAAGTATTTGATTTATCAACGATTTCAGTACAATAGATGATCCCGGTCCGCCAGTTCTCGCTTTGTTCTATTCAAAAGCCTTTTGGGCATTTCGCCAAACTGCAAAAAGCGTGCAGCGAGAACAGGCGGACCAGGACGATCTCGCTGTTCCCAGTGGCTCATTGATATGGGCAGCTCGTCTTGGTACGAACTCGTAAAAAATAATAGGAATTTCACGAAGATTCAAGGCCTCTTTTTAAAAAACTCTAAAAATAAGAGTCGGGCGATTTTGAACAAATAAAAATCTCCCAGATCCAAGATAAAGCTTGTTCCGAGTTTATCCACTAGGTGGCTTATTCATCCACCGAATGTGTTTAATAATTTTATATTCTGACAGTTGAAATATGCCTGTTCTTAATGAAAACAAGTGGAAGATTTAATATAAAAAAATAACAGAAATTACATTCTGGAAAATTTTTGAATGAAATATACACATCATCTTTCCGACTGATTCACTTTTGCAGGATGTCATTTTTTCTTTGACTAAAAAAATTCGGCATAAAATTAATCATAGTTTCCAACCATTGCGGTTGATCGTACGTTTGAAAATGACCAAGACTCGATTATGATTCAGAGAAAAACGTAAGGCCCCGATTACCTGCAAATTACATATTTGTATTATACATATATGGCGATAATTTTGAATTATTAACAAGGAAAATGGATGAGGAAGATGATATTGTTAGGTACTTTGGTCGTTTCCGAACTTTCTGGCAGTTCATCTTCTTTAGTTCGTTCTGTCAGACGCGTCTGTTTTTGACATCTTCATTCATGCCTAAATTTATTTTTAAAAACATGGCTGACCAATATCAGACGCTATCCTCAGTAGCTAGTTTACTTCTTAAGGGCTTGATTGACAAAAAAACACACAGATCAAACACTGAACGAGACAGTCCAAAATCATCAGAAACAACTACCGTTCATCGCCCTGATCTCGGCCAAACGTGTTCAGGCTTCTCGCCTTCTTCAGTAGTGGGTTTACTTATTAAAGGGCACTGTTGACAAAATGGTAGGCTAAAATGATCTTAAACGACCGCACTGCAGGTCCATTACCCCGCAATCTACCAGATGCGTTAAGGCTTCTCGCTATCTTCAGGGATGAGTTTATAAAAGGGCACAGTTGAAACAAAAACACACAAACTAACTTCTGAAGCAACGATAAGTAATCCAAAGTAACGATCAGACTACATCAATCCTTATCTCTCAGAAGCGGCTTCTCATTGTTTTCAGTAGTGGGTTAATTTATTGTATATTTAAAAAACGGTTGACCATATGATGATGACGAGAAGACGTCTGACAGACCAAATACTGAGGGTAAGCAGACCAAAATGATCGGAAACGACACTACCCTAACCATCCATGACCAAATAACATACAGATCAACCATCCATAATGCCGATAAGCCGGCATGCGGTTTACCGAAGAAGACGTCTGACAGACTAAATACTGAGGGTAAGCAGATCAAAATGATCGGAAACGACACTACCCTAACCATCCATGACCAAATAACATCGCCATCTTCAATACTGAGTTTACTTTTTAAAGGGCACGGTAGACATAATAATGGCCAACCACTGGCACTGAGACATAGGCAGACAAAAATGAAACATAATCTGAAGTCTTCAAGAGGAAATTCCAGTACATTCTTCAGTACGTCACCTTTGCAATTTTTTTCAATTTTTTTTTCTTTTACATCTTTAAGAGGGCTTATATGGATTGGTATTTAAGTATGTAGTTAATTATCTCTAAGTACAATTTCACTCGCTTCTTTTGTAACTTTCTCAACCATTAGTCGACGGTCGTTCAATTTTTTGTTTGTTATCTCTCCGGCCTGCCAGGTAAAAATTCAATTTCCCCCTTAATCTTTTCACCGTAATTATCCGCGATAATTGTCTCCGAAAGATTTAACACGCTCTAATCGACGGAGTCGGGGTTGAGAGGATCGTGAACCACAACGCCAAAGTTGAATTATATAATAGGGTAACGTAAGAAGTGGTGTTTCTCTTTTTCCTCCTCCTCGCGGACGACATTGACCGTGAAAAGATCGTATAACATGATCACGTTCCAACTCCATTATCATGTTGGATACTTTCCTCCTGAACCTTCCAACGTTCAAACCGTGAGGGGAGATTAACGAGTGGGCCACCACGTAAAACAGCCAGGACCTCATCGCGAATCCAACCCGCTGAAAACAATTCCGACCACCATACACTTCCAGAACATCATCATATAAGTTTTTCGTTTAAATTGAATTTTGAGTACCGTAAAGTTGTTTAAATGGACGAATTTATAACTTTTTTATTTGTTAATATGATGGTTTTGAAAAATCAATATATCATCCTTAATATAATTCTTCACTCCTTATCATCATTTTTAGGGAAAAATTTACGTTTGCGTATCCGCACACTTTTTTTTTAAATGGGTTCCTTAATGACTTAATGAAAATTATTCTTTAAATATGGTATATCATTTTAAAATATCACGTTGTCTTTCCGATTAAGCATTCAAATACAAACAATTATAAACTTTTTCTTCATTGAAATTTAATTTATTGATAGGAGAATAGGAAATAGTAATCTAAAGGATAATGTGAGATTTTTTTTGCGGTCTGCGATGAGATAGAAGAACCTGTGGTTTGGGCTCTGATCAGGTTCCAATCGCTTTCCTCCAGCTATATTTTACTGAAAAGCAATCTGTTTCCATTTTTCCTTTCTAATCACTGTACCACGTTAAAGGTTCAAATTTTAAATTTTGAATTTCAGATCATCCAAAATTCCCAGGTTTCTACTTTTAGGATTTAATATATTTTGTTGTAATTTGTGTCAGCTTATATTTAAAAAAAAAAAGTAGTTTAATATGTGTAATAATTAATGATCGTTAAGTAATGATAATTTAGAATCGTGAGATGCTGTCTGGTGTATCGTAGGTTTAGAAAACCATGTTCTTTATCGTGCCAATGTTTCGACCTCTATTGAGATCATCTTCAGCGTCTAGTATTTATAAACATTGTTTACAAATACATATAAGATATGGAATTGGTATAATGATGTACACTTTTACACACAAATTTTAAGTTTAATCGAAGTATTTGTACTCACTCAACGTGTGTGTTTTCTGTGTAGCTGTATCAATGCTGTGAGTCGTAGTGAGGTATTAATGTTTTTTGTTTATATATGTTGATTTTGAAGGAATGGGGAAGGAAGTAGGGATAGAAATTTATTTTTTTATGTTGTAATTCAATTTGGGTAAAGTGACGATTTTTAGTTCCATTCTGCACAGCCTAGAATCGAGAGTTACTACGTGCTAAGTCGGATTTTGTGAAATTTCGATCTTTTTCCACACCTCTGCCCCACGTTTCCTCTTTTATTTATTGAAGCAACCTTAACGTTACATTTCATTGTATATTATTGTTCATGCTTTCCGTTATTTTGTTCCTCAATATTTCGGAACTTCACTGATAACAATCGCTGAATGAGCCCGTCAAGAAATTTCCTGTCTCCCAAGAACAACACAAAGATGAGGGGCTCATCAGAGGGAGAAAATGCGACAAGTAGAAGGACATCGGAGGGACCTGGTTAGGTTCAGACCTCGCCACTCTCGTACTCTAGAACTAGAAGTCATTTCATCAGATATCGTATCAATACAGACAAAATCATTTGATCTCAAAAATGATGTCAGCCAAAAGTTTACGAAGATTGAAACAGATATGCCCTACTACAAGAATAGTATCAATAATATTAACTTAGAGAATTCTCTGCTAAGGGTAGAGATTATTAAACCAAAGGCAGGATCACAGCTCCATTTTACAAAT